ATGAGCTCCAAAGTGTCAAACCACTGGTGATAAGTTAAGCAATCACTGATAGCATCAGTATCAGTAAGTAGAAGCTCATCACTCTTGCATAGCAGCTGAGACAAATGGTGGGCTGCAACCTGAGATCTTGTACTTGTGTTCTGCCCAATTCCACTACTTTGCCAACATGGTAATAAAGGCCAATGGAGGTCATCAATTTTAGGTAGCAGGCTTGGGTTGATATTGAACCCAAATTGATGATTAATAAAATCTGCTCTCACTTGAGGATGGGAGAACTGAATTAAAAGAGACTGGACAGAAACCAGTGATGCCAAGTCAGAATGGTTCAGTGACATCGGAGCTGCCATTGTAAGAGCTGCGGACGAGGGACCTGCTACTGGTTGGCAAGAATTAGCTGAGGGTTCCAGATTGACTTTGGGCTGGGATTCAACTTCTTTTGCCAATGCCAGGCTTGTGCCTTCACCAGGACTCTGATGTTGCTCAGTAGATAAAAGAGCAGCTGCTTCCATTCCATCTGGTGATTGGTCCGCCACCGGTAGACTATCCCGCCTGTGCTCCCCGTGTAATGCATTAGGCAATGCACTGTGCCTCATTATGGATAGTAACCTTTGCAAGGGATAATGATTGTGGCAATGTCAGATTAACTGTTGTAAATGTACTCCCATCTGAGATGCCAATGTTCCTGTGTATGCCGCGGGGGGATTAACTCGTAACCCACTTAAGTGAAGCTGAATTGGTCTAATAATGGTGTAAGTAAAGAGTTGCCAGAAGAGTTATGTTTTATTATGGGATTTTAAAATACAACTGACATGCCAATAAATGCACAGAGACAATATTGTTTATAGTGCTTTAGGACTATTGTGACTTAGTGTTTGGTAACTAGTGATATGGAATAGGGAGCACAGGATGGGCAATGGCGCATAAGGTCCTCAGACAGCTGAAAGATATGAAAAATACAAATGAAAGATACTGCACATAATGTGACTATATGATGCTAAGCAGGTTACAATCTATCATGCCTGAATTTAGTGATTAACTTGAGGCAACCATGCTATAACTGAATAATGAACAAACATTTAGGAAATTAAGGACTGATAATTTAGTCTAGTAAGTTAAGTTGCAAGAGTTATTGGTGCAAAAATCATAATTAATAAACACACAAAGCAAACAATGTTGGAGGTAGATTTGACACAATAATGCAAGTGAAGTTATATAGGTAAACAAGGACTGCATCACCATCATGTCTGTAAACACTTCAAACATAAAGTTAACTAAATTATGGTCGGGTTGTGCTTAAGTAATGCAGATAAATAATGCAATGGTTAAAAAGATGTGAAAAATGTAGTATTACAGAAGACATACATATATATAAATTATCTGGAAGAGCTTCACTCACCCAACAGTATTGCAGAATTAACTTGATGCATTTGACTGTCTTGGCAGCATTTTAGTTACTTGCTTACACTTGACTTGAATGGAATTTAATTATTACCTCTGTTCTGAAATGATGCGAAACAAGAGGATGCATTGAGTATGAAAATTGGTTAATGACACAGATGGGTTGATTGGAGAAAAAGCAATAATGCCTTCCAGCAACAATGTTCGTATAAGAAATTTGTAGAAAAATTTCTTCTGAAATAAATTTATAGATTTTTGCTTTCTCAAAATTTCCATATCAAGGAAAATCATAGATTTTTTATGGATAATTAAATGCATGTTGGGTATTACAAGTTTTCTGTCTCATGTCCCTTGACAAAATGTATCTGTGTGCTGTGCCAACGTTTGCACGCGCAAGCAGGGATGGCCAGAAGTTGCGCAAACTGTGCACAGCAATGGCGTAAAAAAGTCAGAATGCGCGGGGAAAAATTTCCCAAAAACCTACATCATCCTGAGTGTGGACTAAGACTAGCACTGTTAGATGCTAAATAAGCCTCCCAAGAAGCCCAAAATAAGCGTCCCTCTTGGTTAGTAAAGGATCCAGGTTACAAAGAAAAATCAATTAACAGCAAAGAAATTTGATTACATTTACCTCATTCAGCAAAAAAAATTCACTTCATGAAAAATTAATGCATCATTAATCATCACAAAATTGTGACTAAGCCACATAGAATAAAAATTAGTTAACCTAAATTATGATTTGTTTCACAAAAAAATATGAAGGTTGTCACTAAAATATTCCTTTCTGTTCCAGGTATGGGTTTACATTTTTTTTATATAGTGAATTAACTTCACCCAATTAAAATGGTGTGAAATTACAATCCGTCCTGTAAGCTTACAGATACAGAAAAGTGCTATATGATATAGGTATGTGCACAAAGTATGCACGAATGTAAACGCTGGCAAAATGGCGGACAGCCACTTTCTGCATCATCGCGTAAGGTATTTAATTTTGAAAGTTCCACCCAAATGTTTGCTTAATATGATTGACTTGTTATTGGAAATAAACTAAAAAGACCTGAACTATGATGACACCATTTTTTTTCAAGAAATGTCTATCAAGTACCTGCTTAGCTGGGGTGTGCAAGGGGTAACATTTGTGCTAGAAATACCATCAACCAGGGCAACTCGGGACTGGCGGGGCAACTCGGGACGCACCTCTGACACGTCGTAAAACAGTCATAGTAGCGAAACTAATTGGAATATTGCTAAACTACATATGGAATTTTTTTGAAGATGCCATTTGATAGCCCTCGCAAAGAGCTATAAAATGAGCCTAAACTTGTTTATGAAATGTTTCATCGTAAGAAGTTATTAACAAAAAACGCTCAAAACCGTCCCGAGTAGCCCCGGTTGACGGTAAACATTGATATTGTATTTTGAAATTAATGAAAGATAATTTGAAATCAAGATCATCATTTTTAGAGCATGCTCTCAAAATTTTAGAGCTCTGCAGCCATTCTGACAGTTTTTCTATCATTCTTGAAATTCATGGTAGTCGTGCAGTTCACGTTCAGTTCAGTCGTGAGCCAGTGAGGTACGCTGGTCATGAACTACTGCCGAGACTGAGACACAAGAGGGGACATGAGATGAGGCATGAGGCAAAACATGGGACGAGACATGAGACTAAGACATGGGACGAGACATGAGATGAGACATGAGACAAGACATGAGACAAGACACAAGACAAGACACAAGACAAGACATGAGACAAGATATGAGATGAGACATGGGACGAGACATGAGACTGAGATATGAGATGAGACATAAGACAAAACATGAGATTGGACATGAGACAAGGAGACAAGACATGAGATTGGACATGCAATGAGGAGATGAGACATGAGACAAGCATGAGATGAGACATAAGACAAGACTTGAGACAAGCACGAGACAAGGCATAAGACGAGACATGAGACAAGCATGAGAAGAGACATGAGATGAGGCACGCAACAAGGCACAAGACACGAGACATGAGATGAGACGTGACGATGATCAGTATTTGACATTATTATTAATATCAATATTGACTAATATTCATAATAAGTAGTTAAGAATTAATATTAATAAAAATTAATAATATTATTATTACAAGTAAATTTTATTTGTGTATTCTATTTAATTTCATATTTTTAAGCTCAATTATGGTGCCAAGGCCATGAAACTGAAATTTATTCCATCCAATTCTGCCTTTAAGTTGAGTTATAGCATTCATATTTGGCAGTTGCACCCATTTCCCCCACCCACCTGCAGTCACCCACCCTGCGTTTTAGTTGACCTGCAGTCAACCAAAATGTTTTATTCTAGTTAGCATAGATAGCCTACAACATGAGCTTTCTAATGGTACTAAAAATTTTGAAATTGGCTCATAGGAAACCTACAAATGATAGTTTTTTCCAACAAAAGTGACAAGTTGGTCCATTTTTGAGGTGAGATTGAAAAAAGGAAAAAATTCATATCTTTTTCATTTTTCAACCTACTCTACTCATACTTATATGATATTTTTCTAAAAATTTTCTATTTTCAGTGGTGCAATTTTCATTACGATCAAAGGAAATTTTTTTGCACATACCGGTACCTACAGTATAAGGCTGCAGATAAGAAGCTTGCTGTGGAAAAGGTTGTAAATGCTCAATGGCATGTTCATGGATACGGCAATATCACATCAATAATACTGTAATGTATGGATATGGCAATATCATATCAATGAAGGAATAATGAGTAAAAATCACAAAAATGTCATTTACTCTACATCTACATCATATTCAAAGGTGGAGGAGGATTTCAGATTACTGTTTGTAATGGATGAGTACAATCTGCATGCTTCAACCGTTTTAAAATAAAGTTTTATTTCAAGTGTCCCTTATAACCCCGTTCCCAGGGGTAATTCAGGACGCTTTTATTTTGTGTCTGGCACCTTACAAATAGCATATGGATTTTTTTTAATCCCATACAATAGCCCTGGCAAAGAGCTTTAAAGTGAGCCCAAACTTTTTTATGAAATGTTTCATGGTAAGTTATTAACAAAAAATGCTTAAAACCTTCCCTCATTACCCCTTTGATAGTACATTTTAAAATTTGAATCTTTTTTTCCCATTGGTGTATAAATTATTCATTTTGAATTTGTACCTAGATGAACACAAATTTATTAAATTGGGCATATCATTTAGAATAACCCTGTACCAAGGACTACTACACACAGGACATGCATAGCACCAAGGACTACTACACACATTGTAATACTATTGTATGAAACAATTATGGGCATATCATTTGTTGATGCCACTAAAACAACAGCATTTTCATAGTGTAGGCGATCGCCTCTGCTAGCAGAGGCTGGACATAGGCTATGCATGTCCTGTGTGTAGTAGTCCTTGCCCTGTACATAATTTTCTATTGAATATATTTTATTATTTAATTATTGCTTGTATTCCATCCTTATGTATAGTTTTAAGGATTGAGATTAAATTAATCCAATTGAATTCCTATATTATAATTTCTGACAGGTTGAAATTAACTTGAATTTCAATTTTTTAAATTTGCATAATTTTCTATTCATTAGAATCAGTCTTGAATGGTGTAAAAAAAAAAATTTTATGAACCTTCCCTTTTTTTAGCTAATTTAACACAATGTCTAAGTGTGAGAATAGGTTAGTTAGTCCAGATGCAGCTCAAAATGCTAAGAAGCTATCACGCAAAAGAAAAAGAAGTGATTTTACTATTGAAATTGAGCCAAAAATCAAAGTTGAGCTGGATCACTTAATGTTTGATGACATTAAAGTTGAGCATGATCACTTCTGTGAAGAGGAATTCAAAACTGAGCAAGAATACTCAGGAACTCATTTGCCAGAGTGGAAGATTGATGTCACGAAGAAAAGTACAGAATCAACTACACTTCTATGTGGAAGAAACTCTGCTGGTCAAACTTTCAGCAATACTTCACCTGATGCTGAAAGTTCTTCTGTAGACAATCAAGTTGTAAAGAATGAACCTACTGGTAAGCATTAAAAAGCTCATCTTAATCAATTAGATTACTAATGTTTTTGAAAAATATTGAGGTTTCTACTTTTTATATTTGTGTCTTTTGCTTGTTATTCTGTCAATAATGTTTAGATATTGAATTGAAAATTTCACTGTTTACTATTTTAACACGTTGACTCCAATTGCTCACATACCAAACTTTCCTAGAATACAGTGACAAATTTCTTTTCTCAAGTTAGTTTGAAGCTTGCCATTGCAGTGAAAGGTGTGTAATGCTATATGCATTAGACTGGACATGTTGGTGAGAGAAAACCAATGGGAAGTATTTGTACCACAACTTACTACAGCCGAGAAAACATTGTGACAAACAAAGTGGGACACTATTGTATTATGGCTCTGTGGGACAGTCTTAGCTGGTTAGCCCGCTACTTAAATCCAGCTTAGGTGAATTGTCTGTGGTACATTGTGGTACAAATATGGCGCACTGATTCTTTGGCTACCTACTGTTGAGCTGTGTCTTGCAAAAATTGATATAATACATATCATACAGCTAACATTGCATCTTGATATGAATAATAAGTTAGTTATGAGGAACCAGTTGATCCCATGCATCTCTCAGAAATTAATAGCGCAACTTTCTATGTGTGGAAAAAAGATGCAGTTATGGATGATGATGATCAATCATCAGAAAGTGAATACCTTCCTGATGAATGTGATAGTCCTTTCAGGATATCTCATCTTCAGATGATTCATATGAAAGGGAAGAAGCTGCTGACTTGTTTGAAAAACATTTTGATGATAGCACTAACTCAGTAGCCCCAACTGGAAACATGTACCTAAAATAACATGATCATTTCCTTTTAGTGTAAAGGAAGAAATGTGTTTACAACTTACCATTGATCCAGAAAATAGAAAAGCTAAGCTGATTGACTTCTTCAAACTATTTATTAGCAATGATGTTGACAATCAAATTGTATTTGAAACTAATAAATATGCTTCTCAATATATTGCCAATGCAACAGTAACTTGCACATCTAAATTGAAAGATTGCAAAGAAACCACACCTGCTGAACTTAACATGTTAACCACCAGCATGCAATATTGGAACTTCCCCCTTAGTGCCAAGACTTCTACGCACCAAAATGTCTCAGTTGGTCAGGAACAGCTGCAAGGGAAGGTGTGTATGTGTTATACTCTGTCTAGTTTCTTCTAGAATAGAGTAAACAATGAGACATGTTGTACATAAGAATGTTCACTAAATCTTCATTTTTCTTCAGCGCCATGCGCTCCACCGGTGGCACAAGAGATTATGGTACACCGGTGGCTTATATTGCGACAATAAAAACCGTACTCATTGGATCATAATTATTTGGCCACGAATGGTTATAATTTAGAGCTCTCGAGAAATATTTTTTTATAATGTAGTTAGTAGTTATGATTTTCATTTGTTAGTTTGTAATTTATAATGATACCAAGACTTATTACATATGTTTATTTCATTATTTCACTCCCTGCTCCTAATTGCTCAGCATTACGATAACAAATTTTTATGTTGAATCTTGATTTGGTTTTCTTTTCATACAGACCCACTAATGGAAACTTGACAATTTTATGGCAGACAAAAAATAGAATCGTCTTCTGATGATAGTGATGATGAGAGCATTGAGCCTTTACAGCTTGAAACAAGTTCCAGTAACACTGATTCAGATGCAGATGATGGTACCTATTCTAGAAACGAAGCAGCACTGGACCCACAAGTACATTCAGAATCAAGTGCATCATCGGTTCTACCCACAGTGGAGTCTAATGGTACTGATCATCCCCATGCTACTAAGTGCATGGCATGATGTTACACCAAAAAACTGAGGTTTTGTATGCACGGCACGAGAACAAAGACACTATAGCTTGGTGAAGGATGGTGAAATTGATCCTTTGGATGTGTACAAAATTTTCTTGACTGACAAAGTTATTGATCTCATCATCGCTGAAACAAATAGATATTTTGATGATATTGCATCTGAAAGCCCAATCACACAGTGTTCCAAGACGAAAGATTTGAAGCCAGTGAATGCCGAAGACATCAAGCAGTTTCTAGGTATTTTGATTGTGATGGGCTTGAATAGGCAACCAGAAATTGAAAGTTATTGGTCAAAAAATAAGATATATGGTGTAGAGATTGTAAAAAATGTGATGCCAAGAAACAAATTTGAGTTGATTCTATGATTTTTGCATTTTGCGGACTACAGTCGAGCAGACGAGAGCGACCGATTGTACAAATTGCACCCATTGATTCAGTTGTTATCCCAAAGCTTCAAAAAGTACACACCAGGCAAGAATGTAGTCATCGATGAAAGCCTTGTTTTGTTTTGGGGCAGAACAATATTGCAACAGTACTTTCCTAACAAGAAGCACAAATACAGTTTCAAGTTCTACAAGTTGTGCTCAGTAGAGGGATACACTTGGAGATTCCGCATCTATACTGGTAGAGAAGAGGCTTCTGGAAACTTGATGCATTTAGAATACATTACACTATCACTCGTGGAAGGCTTACTGAGAGAAGGCAGGACGCTCTATGTAGATAATTACTACTCTTCTGTTGCAGTATCGCGGTTGCTACTAGAAAAATCAACCTACGTGTGCGGAACACTGCAAAAAAAAAATAGAAAAGAAGTTCCTAAAAGTGTAACACAAGCAAAATTGAAAAGAGGTGAAGTAACTGGCAAAGGAAATTCTGAAGGTATCAAGGTTGTGAACTGGAAAGATGAAAGGAATGTATTGATGATGACAACAGTTTCAGAACATTCTGCAAGCAAAGTAAAAACTGGCATGAAAAAATGTGGCAGTGAAATAGAGAAGCCACAATGTATCTTGGACTACAATTCTGCCAAAAAAGGAGTAGACTATTCTGATCAGATGGCCTCATATTATTCACCCCTACGTAAAGTTCAAAAATGGTACAAGAAAGCTGCATTTGAACTGCTATTGGGAACTGCAATGGTCAACTCATACCTCCTTTTCAACAAATTTCATACCAAGAAACCCTTGTTGATGAAAGAATTCCGAGAATCTATTGCTCACTCACTCATGACAGGAAACTTAAACAAAATGAATGCAGGATGAGATCTAGCTGTTATAGGTGGGAAGAGAAACTCTCATTACCTTGTCGAGTTGGAGGGTCAATGTTGGAATGTAAGAAAACGATTTAGAGGGTGTTACGAGGTGCTGTCAAAAAATGAAGGCTGCTCAGTTGCAGCTGCAAAAGCAAGAAGAGTGAAAACAGTCTGCCTTCAATGTGAGAATAAGCCACATTTATGCCCTGGTTTGTAAAGAACCCACTGTCATATGTAATGCCTGATGTCTAATGCTATTATTGGTTCAAGGATAATTTTCCAAAAGGTAATCTCACTAATTATGATCACCAATTTATGCGGATTATTTGTTTTATTTGAAGAATTTCTTTTTTCACCATTGAATTTTAGGTTTGAGGAAGAGTCTGATTTATGGAACAAAACTTAAGTTATATTTCGTTTGAAATTTGTATGAAACTATTTTTTTGAATAGTTATGCTAATAAATAAATTACAGCACTTGTTTTGATAATTCATCTTTCTAGCCATGAAAAATGAGTGAAAAACAAATTTGAAAATAAATTTGTAAATGATCCAGCGGTGGTACATACATATGGCATTCATTGAAAGCTTGTTTTGTGCCACTGGTGGTACATGTGGTGGTTAATCCAGGATAAATCACATCCTCATATGCTCGTCTAAGGACAGAGAGGAAAGAGAAAAGGATACCTAGGATGCTATAGAAAACTTTCATTAAATGAAAACTGTCAAGTGGCAAGAAATAAGGCACAGAGTCACAACCTATGTGAGAACAAGCCTCATTTCTGCATTCCATGCTTAAGTGAAAAACATGGAAATGTTTAGAAGTTAGTGCAAATCATCAAATGATGAAGGAAATATGACTGGTATTCCATGATTTTGCTTATTTTCATTATTTTTGCTCACTTTATGTGATGAACTGGAATTTGAGGCTGCAACACAATGCTGTATTTGTGTAATTTCTGTTCTATTAAAAAATATGTGCATTTAAGATTGGTTACGATTTTTCATTGACCCTGTCTTTTCTATTACTGGTAAAAAATATAATGGGACATAACTTGTATATTAAAATCTATTTTAAAACAATGTGCTGAAATAATTTAAATGGTACACATGTGTACCACTACGTCCTGGAGCAATAAACCTCGTGGTACAGATATGTACCACTTCGGAGTCAACGTGTTAAATATTAAATATAGCATGTCTCTGCCTAATTATGCCTTTGGCTACTGCAATTTACATTGTCTCCAACTGTACTGACCCTTCATGATAGAATACCTGGCTTTTAGCATCATCAAGCAAGGCTTTTGATAGTATCTTTGACATTAACAATCACTACAAATTCATTTAAATCTAAATCATCTAATAAATTTGCAATTATCTTGCAGAAATTGCGGAAGAGAGAATTATGTATGACAACACCTGCACTGTTGGGAACATCAAGATGGAACAGTCAGAAGATGGTTGTGAAGCGCAGCAAATGAATGAACTAATTGAAGATAGATTGACTTCAGACTCCAAAATTTCAGTTGAAAAAAAGAAGAATTGTACAATTCCTAAGTGTATGATGCAAAGCTTTAAATTTGTTTCTGATCTTGTAAGGAATATCAATGCATCAGAGAGCATAATTGATGATGCAATGTGTCTACTGATCAAGGTAATTATGCAGAATATTATTGCTGTTGTGAGTTGATGAATTATCCATTTAATTATTATAAAACTCCTACTGAGAATTTATTGTGTTTTTATGCTCTCCTAAATTACATATTACATATTAGAAATATATTATTATTTGATAACATATCTGAAATTATCTTGAATTTTCTATTGTACTACTGTATTTTGTGTTACCTGTTTCAACATCAATTCAAGTTAAATAAAAGAAACGCTTATAAAATTAGTTGATAGGGTGTTAGAAGGTTATCTCAGGAATAGGTAGGTATATCTTTAACCCTTTCACGGGTAAGTTACCATATATGATCACTTGAAATCGCATCACAAAAAGCCTCACCTCAGCTTTCTGTTTGTTTTTGAGGCATCCTTATAATGCCTCAGCCAATCACTAATTATTTGACCATCGTTCTATCTATAGCATCACCAGCTGCAAAGTCCACAAATTGAAATATGAGCATTTAAATGAAGGTTTTGATTTGGACAATGGAATTGACGCTCTTCCCACATTTTCTTCAAAATGTGGAAGTATCAATATATATATTTATTTATTTTGGCAACTTGATTAAATTTAATTAAATTAAATTTTCATGTTTCTAATTTTTCATTTGCATAAACTGAATTTTAATTATAAAGAAAAATTTTGTGTACTGATTGCATTTATTGAATTCTTCAAGTGCAATTTAAACCTTCAATAGGCAAAATTTGCAAAAATTCATATAAATAAATATATTGTATAATACTTCTTACTTTCTTGAAATGGTTTCTGAAATTTTAATTTCTGGATATTTCAATGCTTGCCCGCTAAAGGGTTAATGTAAAACTTGCTAATATCTTCTACTGACTATATTATACATGCCACATTAACTTTCAGTTCCACCCTTCTTGTCCAGGTGAGAATGAGCATTACATCGGGTCGATCATCGGAACTCATGTCGGGCGCTTGTGTGTACATTGCCTGCCGACAAGCAGGTGACCCAAGGTCCTTTAATGTGAGTACCCTTTTGTACTAATAATGATTACTCATGTAGTTACTCATTGCATGCTTGCTCTTGATTTGTTGTGATTTAAAATTTTTCTCATGTTGCTGTTATAAACCTGGTGGTTGTCATTGACTAAGTGAAGCAGGGCACAGCTGAATTGGAATAATAGAATTGTTCTGTCTCAAATTGTAAGCATTCATTTAAAAGGTTATGTATGTATTTCCATAGCAGAGAAAATTGATTGATCCAAAATCCATACCTACTCTAAATTTAGGAGGTAGAATAATTCAAGGTTTGAAGAATAGTATGAGCCTGATTAACTGGTTGTTGAAAATTAGGCTAATTAGCCATAGAATTAGGACATGAAAATAATTGAGACATTCTGCCAAAAACAGGTTAGGACCAGGGCAGCTCAAGAGAAAGGAGAATTTTTATGCAACCTGGAATTATTTTTCTACTAAATTATAGCCAGTGTCTTGTGCACAAATGCATTGGACTAAATTATAATACTTATATTGACAATGAATATAGACAAAATAAGGGAAACACCTGAGAAATTGACAAAAAATGCTTTAGTATGTTTTAGTTCCATCTTTTGCTGCAATTACAGCCACAATTCTCCACGTTATTGATTTATAGAAATTGTGAATTGTTTTCAAGGAAATTTTAACCCATTCAGTTAAAACTCCCTCCAGCGCTTTTAAAGACAATGGCGGCGTGAATCAACTTTGATTTGCATCTATAAAATTGACCATAAATGCTTGATATTCACGTATGGTGTTAATTGTAGCCAAATGAGATGCTCAACTTCAGCTGAATGTTCCTCATGCCATTTTTTTTAACAATTCCAGTAAAGATCTGTTCATTGTCATCTTGAAAGATGGCATTCCCCCTTAGAAACCTTTGAATGAACTTAGTGTGAGGGGTCCATCCACATTGTGAGGGGTCCATCCTACTTGAATTTGATTTGCATACCCCCTAAATATAATTGGTTATCCACAATTCTTAAAAAGTCACGGCTGTTGATTCTTCCATGAGAAGAAATCATTGGTCCATCAGATTTAAAAGAAATAGCACCCCAGATCATCATGGATCCCCCGCCATGTTTTATTGTTGGGGGGGGGGCAGTCAGGAATTAAATGACTCTTATGGCTGTCTCCAAACACAAACTCAACCAGAGGTTGGAAATAAGGTGAATGATGATTTGCCTGAGAAAATCACATTTTCCCACTGCTTATGAGACCAATTATGGAGATTTTTACACCACTTGTGTAAAATAAACCAGAATAAATAGGAAATTTTGACTTGTTTTGTGTTATGAATTTAATGTTTTAAATCTGGCGCATCTAATGGTGTTGTCAGCATGTCTATGTGTGCGTTAGTACATATACACAATCGACCAATCGTTCTTGCTAATTTTGAGCGTACAATTATCCCGCCTTGCCAATGAATAGCATCAATTTAAAGGTCTAAATCTCATGCATCCAATGGTTTGAGCTGCATGTCTATGCATGCATTCGTTCGTTCACAAGGTTGATTTGATGATCACAACCTCTTTCTTTACACCTTTTCAGCTTGTTTTGTTTCATGAAAAATTTTAATTTTCATTTTTTCCAATTTAAAGTATTATCACTCCTACATTATTCAAGCTACAGCATTGAAAGACATATCATTCCGTTCGTAAAGACCACACCTTGCGACTCGAGAAGCACTTGTGCATGGTTGACTTAGGATTTGTGCATGGTTTGAGTTGGGTACCTATGGGAGGGTGCCAGTGGGGGGCAGGGAAAAATGCAGGAAAAATTGAAAAACGAGCTTAAGAAAGAAAACGATGGGGAAAATAAAAAATTGAAGTTCTAGAGCTGCTAGATAATCATATTACAAAATGAATGGAATGTGTCTCGATATTGTAGCATGTATATTGCAATAGTTGCAACATATTTAAAGTACCACCTTTCTTAGCCGTTTTCTATTAATTTCAAGTTTTCTTTCATTTTCCAAAAATTTCGTATAAATTTCTTTTATTTGTATGTTTTACGTATGTGTGTAAAATTTCATAAAGATCGGTAGTTAAATGTAGAAGTTCATCTAGAACCAAGCCAGTTAGAGAGAGGTTTTCTAATTGCAGCTCTTCCATAGCATCCGGATCTGTGCAGCTCTCGGCAGACAGTCTTTATGGAAACTGGGTTCTGTAGGTGTGCGTTGAGTTCTCAATTCAATTTAGGTAACAAGGGTATCTTTCAGACAACTTTCACTGTCAGCCAGACCTGTTTTTTTCTGCTTTCTAAAGCAGTCATTATTTTGAGACAGCACCTCTAGAAACGTCAAGCATTCGGGAAGTATCTGTCACACTAGCACCTGCCATACGGGCACCAACAATTTGGCCTCTATGAAAGTCAGAGGTTTGCCATTTTATTAGGTTATAGGCAAAAAATGTACTAAAAATATCCATGAAAGGATAAAATATCAATTAGCAGCTACAATAAACAATAAAACATGAAAATAAGTCACGTTTTCATAATTTATAACAGGTTCAAAAATTACTGTATCAAAATATCAAGCGTGTCCCTTATTTTGTCCAACCCCTGCAAGTATATGTTTTCAAATTTACTTAATTTAATTTTAACTGCAATGCACTATTACAAAATGTTTTGCCTGCCTGCAGAATCTGTTTCAATCATGTTGGAAATTTACTATGTAATTTGATTTAGCTTACACCATTTTGTTTTAAATTCCAAATGGCATTTTACATTACATGAATGATGATATTGACCATTTCTTTATCTAGTTCATGTAATTTCATACACAACCATTGTGAAATCTGACTATGTATGTCTAGTCTTATAAACATTGTCTCTTTCCCATAGGAAATTGCTGCTTTGTGTAATTTCAGCAAGAAGGATTTGGGACGAGCATTCAAGACTGTGATGAAAATTATTGACTCTCCACTCGACATCATCAAAAGTGACGATTTTGTGAGCCGTTATGGTCATTCCTTGGGCATTGGACAAAATGTGAGCTGTCAAGATTTACCTGCTTCATGACTGATCGTCTTTATTGCTAAATTTTTAGCATTATCCTTTCATTTGTATTGTTTTGGTCCTAAATTTAAGTTCAATACGTCCTCATGTGTAAAATTCAAGTTTTGTACTTATTTTCATGTGATTTGATTAGTGATGAAGTACATTTTTTAAGAAACTGTTCGTTCAGTGGCTTTTTTTTCAATCCAATAAGTCTCATGGAAAATTTATATCATACCTTCATTTTTACTCCAGAAACTTGTTTCCAGATGAACTACTTGTCCAAGGATCAGTATGTTAAATAGGCCTTACTTTCAAAAGTTCATATCCTATTACAATAAAGAAAGTGATGATGTTTACCTCACTTATGTTTTCACATGCCTAATTTTATTTAATTTTGATGTGGGATCAAACAGGTCATAGAAGCTGCAATACACATCGCAAATGAGGCGCAGAAGCTGGATATCATACGAGGCCGTTCACCAATATCAGTCGCTGCGGGCGCCATTTACATGGCCACTCAGGTTAACTGAATACATTTTTTAAGGTTCCTTATATTAATACTTGATGTTATATAGATTTGGTAATTGAAAAGCAAATAATAATCATAAAAATTATTTTTATCGTTACCGACGACATTGGTCAGCTTTGTCTTCTGGTGTAGTTCGTTCTCATTCAATTGGCATTCATTTCTGCCTACGTTCATAATTCTTCATGTTAGATTGCATCCTTGCCAATTCCAAGTAAGTTACTGGATTGTCTAGCTAAATTCTCCGTGAGTCTTAGAGTATTGTTTATGATGATTGCTATAACTGTCAAACTTTCCAGTGCATAAATCACATTTACGTGAAAATCACAATGGCATGTACGTATGAAATGAAGACCGAGCAATAAGCCCGGATAAATTGAAAAGTAAGCAATTGATTTTTATTGGAGAGAAGTTATTGATGAATCTTCTTCATCATATTATGTAGTTACGTATTTGCAATATTGAGCAGTCTCAGTGTTTAAGGTTATCAGGTTATAGAACATTAATTGAACTTGCATAATTTAGACCCTGCCAATGAACTAATGAGGCCTTTGATTTTTTTTTTTTAGATTTCTTTATTTTGAATAAAGATTTTTTTCTTGAGCAGGCAAGGGCCGAGGCACTGACGTTATTGGAAGTGAGCCAAGCAACAGGAACCTCCGAAAACACCGTGAACATCATTTACCGCGCCCTCTACCCTTACGCAAAGCAGCTATTCCCTGCAAACTTCGAATTCGACCATTCAGTCGAGAATTTCCCGTCCAGAGATCGTCAGCATTATATTTTGTGGAAATCTTAGACTGTGTTCTTTGTAAGTATTTTGTGAAACAGGTTACACTTTTACTATTAATGTCGTTAGGCTGTGGTACAAATGAAAAAATTGCCATCTAAGATGCAAAAATTTTCTCTTGTGCCAGATATTTGAAAGAATTCACTTTTAATTTATAATGTAAGTACCATTTTCTAGAAAATAAATCTTGAAATAAGGCGCGCGAATGTGTTGATCCGTGACTATTCATAGATTAGTTTCGTAACAAACCGTTGGATTCACTATGTTATGATGCAGTTTTTTGGAGGTTATTCATGAGTGATGGCCTTTATTCCGGCTCGGACGAGTCTGAACATAGCAACGGAAATTTTTACATCTCGCCCAGAGAAGCGGGTATAGAAGACGGGGTATGACTTTGTTCAGTGAAATATTCATGGAAACTTTGAAATGTGTAGTGGCGCTTTCCAAACTGTTTAATGAATTGTGTTTTAAAATTATGGACGTGTTGTAATCGAAAGTATTATAGACTGTTCTAACGAGGCGTTAGAATTTTTATGGGTTAGTAAGTAACTTGCTTGCACTTTTATACAAATGAAGAGCGACTTGTTCATGATAATATTGTTTCATTATATGTAATGTTCAGTGCCGCTTTATTTTAACTGACATGTGGAGCCTGTCACTCCTACTGCTCGGCAGTGAACATTGTACATTTTTAGTTCATTAAATAGTATGATAGTTTGCATTTTAAACGTTTTTTTGGCACCGCTTAGGTAATGGATTTGTCAACTGATGCGTTCCATCCGTTTTGTTATATTTTCTCAATGATAACCGGACTTTTTTAAGTTTTAAACAAACTAGGTCACGCAGGCACGGATCACGAGGGAGAGAATGATAAGAGTGTAAAGTAAAACCGTATTGGTAAACTTTTGTTGGACAACTGTAACCGTTTACTGCATTAAATAAAGAAGTTCTTACAACGGTACTAGCAACTTATCCATATTATCATCAGTATGGGTCATGCTTCAATACTGATATCGCGGGAAAAAAATTTTATCCGTGCTTTAATGGTAGCACAGAAACAGACAAAAGTTCATAAAATAATCGACCAGTCATATATACAGGTCTCAACTTCTATACAACTTCAAAGGAATATGATATGATGGATAATTCAGGATGCTATCATACCTCAAGTGTAGCAAAATCATCATCTTGTTGATGTTGGCTATTGACAGCAAAGTGGCAGAAGGAAACAATTGTACGATATGAAAAGCCTCTATGCAATTATAATCAACTAATTCGAATTTGAAGCGTGAATAAACCGTAACTTATCGATCGTGCATCGTCGCGAGACCACGACAACTTGAAATATTTCCATTTAAAATATAACTCGTGAAATTTCCAATAAGATTAATACGATTGAATAAACCTTTTCTTTTGTCATTGTTATCAAATCATATTTTTAATCAGTTTCATTTTAAACTGCTGTGGCAGTGAGCAAACGCTCAATCTTTAACGGTAGGAGTCCAACCGTTGCCATGTTGCACCCACTCCACAGCCTCCTTCAGTAGCGGCATGCCGTAATGATGCGATATTGCCCCGAAAATTTTTATTTTCTCCTCGAATGACTTCTTGTTTGTGATGCATACAAAGTCTCCTCCGCAAGAACAAATCACTGTCATGTTCGGCTGCTTCACCTGGGAGCAAGAGCAAAAAATAGGAATGATGTCACTTGAAAAATTTCGTCTCGTGATTACTTAAAATCGTCTATCGATCAATAATCTAAAACAAAATTGCCTTCCAAATAAAAGAAGCCTTTATTTATGGATAGAATCTGCCATGACTGAAATTAATTGGAGATGACAGCTAATTTTTTTACTTAGATGGCCTGGCTTTGAAACTGGAAATCAACTTCAGGAATTCGTAGATCAACCAAATTACTCAATTGTTTCAGGATTCGTGGCAATTTAATTCGCGCCCTTGAAGATTGGATACGTCACAGAATGCATCACATAAAAAGTCATAATTAATAAACGTGAACATTCTTTTCTTGCCTATATGGATAGCCACTTTATTGATGAGAACTACTAGGCAACAGAGACCCATCCTGCGCGATCGTAAAATATATAGAGAGGCTTAACTCAAAAACATGGTGTTCGGGTATGCAAGGGAGTCACGAAGCGCAAGACAATTTCCATCATGAGGTAAGCAGAGCACGACTAACCTGCTTGCAGCGGGCGCACTGTACGTCTTGAAGTACAAGCGCTAAGGAAGAGTTGTACAGCACGGAGAGCAGCTGGTGTTCGATCGCCGAGGTATCGTAGTTACTCTTGCAAACAGGACATTGCCAGCACCACCTGCCCATGTCCATACGCAAGTAAAGGTCAACTATTTAACGACTCGTATTTCTGCAGAACACTTGTATAGAAATGCACAAGCAATAGAAATTCAGTCCTCATTGAAATTCGCAGATTGAACTGTCGAGCCTGGATTTGTATTGATGCTCGTGCATCAGTATAGCAAGTACCTACTTCACAACATAGTGACCGATAACCCATTGTTTGCCTTCTTTCTTCACACAATGTGTCTTACAGCGATGATCACTTTCACAGACAAATTTTGACTACAGTACATGATGTAATGAGGGGGCTTGTATAGAAAGAACATGATTGAGCCAGAAAAAAATGAAGAGTGCCAAAGAGGGTTGAGGGAAGTTTCGTGCTTCTACTGAAATATCAAGATTATGTTCATTCCATAGCTGAGCCGGATCCCATTGTCGTTCGAAGCACATACATCTATTGATTGTGGTGAATGATGGATCGCACTGCTTCGTGCATATATTAGACATGCGGTCGACCAAGGCTGACGTGAATCAATTGTTCAGCGGTTTTTAGAACGATTCGACGAATTTACTATTTATGTTATTAAACATTAAACTGCGATCGTTGGAGAATTTAACAATCGACTAATTTAACATTTGACTGGAGCTAAATGTAGCACATTTAGCTCCAGATTTGATGCAACACTTGTAGCAACTGTCAAAAACTTGGGATATCAAAAAACCAAACCTATCATTAACTACTTGATCTTCAACAAGCATTACCTCAGTCCTACACGATAAACTAGATATTGCGAAGTAATCTCCAGCACTGACCTGCCATCAACTCGCGTTTGATTGTGGTCACGGCAGAGGTCGAGATTGCGACAGTGATTGCACACACGACAGATGAGCTCAGGCAACGTGTAGGAGACACAGGGGTCGTGCCACATACCCTCCGCGCTGAACTCTCCTACACCACACAACTTCAGCAAGTCGCGGCGTAACTTGGTTACCTGTCGAAAAATCGTAGTTATTAAGATGATACAATTTTGCGGCATAAACTCGCATCGATGAAGCTTAATTGGATTTTATGTAGAACATGTGGCGCAAAACTTCATAATCAATATCCATAATCTATACATTCAGTACGGGACCAGCAGAATAATTTATTATGGTAGAATTAAATAGAAACCATAAAGCTATCAAACCCCGAATATTTCACGATTTTTATGAACGTACCTGGTCAGTAACATTAGCATCCAGAGACAAAACTTTGCAGACGCTTTTAACGAACTCGACCGCAGGGTTATGGTGACCACGCAGGGCAGCCGGAGTTACAAGCAAGTTTTCTTTTTCTTCATCATCGTCCTCATCGCGTTTGTGTGTGCCGCGCTTTTGAATTTTTTGTGTAATAAAGAAAAGTTTTTGAGACAATTCACCGGAGATGAGAGTGCGTGCAAACTGAATGTGTTCTGGTACTTGATCTTTGTTGCTGGAACTTTCTTCATTTAAAGCCGAGCTCGAGTCCAGTGAGCTGCTGGTTGATTGAGTGAGATCACGGCGCCTTATGGGAGTCATCCCGGGCTCGAAAGAATTGGTTGCCGTCAGTTTCTCGTAAACAGCGCTCATGTAAGCAGCAATGACATTATTGAAATTGGTTTGAGCATCACACCAATCGGGCAAATACTCGGCCAGATTCCAGTTCATCTCGATCACTGGACCGTCATCAGTAGCAGGTTCATCCGCGGCACTGAGTTCACTATCTCCTTCGACAGCACCAGCTCTCTCTACCGCTGCTTGAGATTGAGTCTCGTCTGAGACATCTTTAGGAACCTTGCCCTTGATGCCGCCATTGTTCGAAGGGTCCAGCCAACACAGATACTCCCAACACTGGCTGAAACTTATGTCCACAGAATGGAACATTTCCTTATTTCTGATGGCATCAACTACATACTCGACATAAGAAATTGCATCAACAATTCTGCGCTTCTTTGTGCAAATAATGATCTTGTTGAAGTTGGCGAAGACAATAATGGCCCCCAAACGCTTGAATTCGGACACCAAATGAAGGAAGAGTTTGTTCATGAGCGTGTGGAGCATCCTTTGCAGAGCTGGGTCATGTAAGAGGGCATTCGGATCTCTAAGCCATCGATAAAAGTGAATTATCTGAAAATCAGCAAAAATGTTCTGGTAGAGTGTGACGTCTTTCAGCCACGCAGTCACCATCTGCCTGAGGATTCTGAACGCTGAAGCACAACGAGCAGTTTCGTCATACGAGGTGAGCGAGGCTATGGAAGTTTCAGACGAATTTGTCCCTCCAATCATGTCTTGAACGGATATTTGAGGCACGGCATCAAAGGCAATGCTGCTACTTGTGCCCTCCGATTCGTTGATGTGATGTGCCTGAAGCAAAGTCGTCACGGCTAGAGCATCAATGTCGAGCTCAACACAAACAGTTTCGTAGCAGCCAGGATTACAAATTTCAGTCACAAGAGCCGAGTCTTCTAGCTCGGCAACAAGGCGGTTATCATCAAACTCGTGACCTCCTAGGTCAGGTCTGATGGTCGGTGAACACCAGAGTACGCAATTATGCTTTTGTAAATGGCGAGCGTAGAACAAATCGGAACCAAAGGAGGTTGTGTCTGCAGGCAAGTTTCCAACAGGCACATGGAAGTAACGACTTTGCTCAAGAGCAGTCCTGTAAATCGGAATGAATCCAAAATAGTGTCGCAACATTGCCTTTGCTCCAACTCTCTGCCAGTCCAGAACATTGTAAAGGCCGTCGACATCAGCAACGTGGACAGGCACCAAAGGGAAGTCCTGCAGTCCAGGCATAAGCGTTGTTAGAGCTTGAATGTCATGAGGACTTTGGACTGCAACGAAAGTTGGTCCCTTGCGTTCTTCCTTGTAGTTCAGCACAACTCGCTGAATTTGGCGATACACTTGCCGCACATCTGTTTCAAGCTTTATGTCGAAGGCATAATTATCTGCAGGCAAATCCGACTCTTCAGTGTCAGCTTCAAGTTTGTGATTTCTTTCGGTTGTGTAGAGATTCACCATGTTGGGCATTTGGTTACTGCGTACTGTGTCGAGAACAAAAATGTGAGCTTTCTTTGTAGAAGCTAAAAACACGCCAAACATAGCTTTACTGCCTGACTTGTGGTGATACAAAAATATTGTACGTAATGGGTCACCTTCCAGGTAGCGATACTGGGCTACAGTTTTGAATTTTAGCTGACTCAAAGTGAAGGAATCCGTTTCGATTTTAACCTGAGTCCTGTCAACCAAGCAGACGCATCCTAGCTGAGCAATGGCTCGGAATTCTAGAGGAACCTGAGTCTCGTAAATTCCTTCAATATCAGGAGTAGAGAAGTCAGCCATGATCTTATTTGTGTGCTCGACAAAAACTTGTTCCGGCACACAATACTCATAGAGATGCAGCGCAGGGTGAGACCGCGGTAAAGTCTTGCTTATTTTTCTCCAAACAACACCATTTCCATCATTGTCAGTCTTCGGAGTTCGCTGATTCACATAAAATATCCTAGGAACTGTGAGCTTGAGACAGTGGAGCTCGTGTCCCACCAGCGCCCACACTTTAAATTGCCCAGCAACAGCCGTCTCTGCAAGCTGAATTACTTGCCAAGGAACGTCTCTGATGGACCGCTGGTTGCGCATCAACAAATGGGTTAGAGAAGCAGGGTTGCCCACTCTCACTACGCCGCGGCCTCCACCGCTACACTGCGCTGCATCGCCAAGACCAAGGTTAGGTCGCTTCGATCTGTCGTTGCATTTTTGACTGCGTTGTAATGCCCACTTACGCTTCTGAAATCTAATCCATTCCTGCAACTCGGCCTGAAAACGCAAAAAAATCTTAAATTAGTTGAGATAAAGGGCATCTTTCAAACTAGAATCGACCTCAGCATATAGTAACATGGAAAGATATTTAGAAAAGCTTGCTTATAGAAACAATTTGAAATTTGTACACAGAAAAGTACTTACTCGTGTCGTTCCTTTGCTAGGAGGATCGCCCAGAACATCTCGCCATGACTTAGCAAGTTCATCTTCGCCCACGACCTCTTCCCTCTTGCGTTTCTTCGACAAAGTTACTCGCGGAACAGCCAGGCCAGCTTCACCGCGTTCAGTAGCCATGTCTTCTATGTCTGGTGCGGTATCATTGTTGTCATTTTGCACGTCGGGCAGCGCTTTGGCAACGACACTGAACATGTCAGTGATTCGTCTTTGCTTTAGTGTGTCGTTCCTCTCCAACACTTTTTTGTGTAGCCAGTCAGGGTGAGCCACGCGGGGTACGGGATTGGCGCAACCTTGCAGAGCAGCTGGAATTGTTATAATTTTCTGGACGGTGCCCGAAAGCCTCTCAATGTAGTAATCCCAGTCCAGTATATCACGCAAGTCAAAGCTAGTGAGACTAGAGTCCTTGAGCCACCTCCTCAGGTAGTGCTGCCTTACAGAAGGCTCAGCTTGAAAGATCGCCAGAGGAATAGCGCGCTCCGTGACTGGAGCACCATCAGGTTTTTTAGAGATGATAAACTTGCAACTCAAGCCAGCATCTTTCACCATCTGATCACCCAAGAACTCAGCCAACCTACGAGCGGTAGAAATAGACGTCGACTTCTGAGCGCCATACTCTTCAAGCTTGCGACTCATGGAACGATTTTCGGAGATAAGATCAAAGAGCTCCGAGTCGGGCATGTTGGCAGCGCGACTGTAGAGCACGTCCAGCCAGTAGTCAGCAACCTCAAGTTCGCGAAGAAAACGCAATTAATACTACAAGTTAGCAAAAAATGTAACTCTGAACAAAGTTATAAACTGAATGTCCATTCTATGCTCATATTTATCATGAACCTTGTTAGTCCACTCGATAAACTTATAATTCCAGGTATATTCAATACTTTATTACTAACGAGCATAACAAAAAGCAAGCCTCTCTCATGCACAACTCATTTCAAGCCTAATGAAACTTAATTGTACTCAGATTATAAGCAGTTTATTTATAATAAAGCGTTATTGCAAAGTTCAGGAAGTACAATACCAAAATAACAAGCCAAGTCTTCATCTCACCTTTGCAACACTATCGTAAACTTCTTTCAATGAATCTCCTTTAAGAAAAGCTTCGAAAACTGAAGATTGAAAAATTTTGATGAGTTGCAACTCTCCTCGTCTTTTCACTTCGAAGCCTTTAAGCTCGGCCAACGAGCCGTCAAAATTGAAGACTGCGTAGCGCTTCTTCAACTTTTTTCCTTCTTCTTTGGAAGCCGGCAGGATCATTGCAAGGTATGGACCATCAACCTGAAGTAATAATGATTTATCAGAGGAATTTTCAGTCAGCTCGTTTTCTTAGTCTGGTATACAACCCCCCAAAAAAAGGTTGTAATTTCATAAATACTGAAATTATATGAGAGAAATGATCACGGTATAAAATATTTAATGCCGAAAACGGGTTTCTTTCAAAATAAGCGGTGAGGTTTCAAGTGTTGCTGGAACTAACCTCAAAAAATATAGAATTTTCTGAGCGTACGTGGTACTTCATCTTGTCATTGGGATCCTGATCGTGGTACTGGTCGTTGGTGTAGTGATCCTTCACCATCACATTGAGGATAGCACCGGGATAAGATATAGTAACCTGCAAACACGATATAGTCACCTGCCTGATCATATATTGCTGAGAACTTATGCGGCTTCTTATCACGTTAATATTGTCAAATACATATTATCATTATAAACAACTTCTTGCGTTCCTCAAAGCGCTGTGCAGATGAGGTATTTGCTGATGAATACAGGCAGTTTATGAGTGAGGCACATGCTGTCAGATCGTCACCTTGCTTTTCTTCGCGTGAGTGGTTTTGAAAACAAAATTTTCGGGAAATGATGCTGGCAAGATGCACCAAATGCCATCAGTGTCCAATTCGAGCGGCCGTCCGATCTGAAGATGAATAATACAAATCCCTTATTTCAATCACAAGGCCAGTACACTAAACCCTCTGCTAATAATACAGGAAATAATTTTCCAAGTATAAAATATTGACAGATCATATAAAATGTATTTATCGATGTTTGTTCTCAATCAGTTTTGATACAAGTGAACACGAAAAATGCCGAGGGGAATTATCCATAAACATTGTTAAAAATCGGTGTAAAGAGAGAAAGATTAACCTGTATGAAATCATATTAATCAAACACTTCTCTATGCACTATCAAACATAAGGTTAAAGTAAATAAGGTATTACGAGGTGCGATCGAGAATAGCAAACAATCCCGTCATTCCCGTGACGGATTGGTTGAATGGTTTGATTTCAGTTCAGTGATTAATTGATGTCCGTGACGTCACTGATATCAGTGTCGTCACAGGCGAACAATGAACTACATCCACAAAACTGAACTTCTCGCGGGTCAACCTTATACTAGTTCAACCATGAGACTTGTTAGCCAGCCCAGAATTCGGCGATATTAGAGAATGGTTTTAACATAATTCAATAATTTAAGAACCTGTTCGATGATCTCTCTGCTCTTTGTGATGATAGTAGAGCCCGTGTGGCACACAATACCCGCCATCTCCATGGAGTGCCAGCGAGATCCTTTCCTCATGACATAGCCATAGAAGGAGTTCAGGATACACTTGTGTGCAAGCTGCAGGGAATCGTATAGCACTGCCTTCGAGTTGGCAGCCTTGATCTCGCCGAGGTCACCCTGAGTGAACAATTACAAAACTCAACATCACAAAAGTTAAAAGGCGAAACAACAAACAAAATGAAGGACACTAGAGGTTTGTCAGGTAAACATCTGTTGGAGTACTCATTGAAGCCTAAAAATCACATAGAGAGTCGCAGTGAACTACTCGTCTTTCATTACAAATTTACTATCACTGAACCATTCAGAGCACAAATCGTGAAATAGCTTGACCCCTGCAATACATTTCAGGAAATCTTGAGAATGAGATTAGGCTCATCAGTTCGCCTAACGCCTTAAAAACTGTACCAACGTTAATGGTTTCTTCAATTGTTAGCTACGTAGACTAACACAACCACAATAGGCTTTAGTCCGAGGTTTCACCTTAGCCATAGCGTCAGCAACTTCTTTTTTAGATGACTTGGCAAGGCCCTTATACTCGTAGCGACGATCCCTGAAGCTGAGCACCGTGTTTACGTAGAAGGGATTCTCGCGCTGGCAGATGGTCTGCTGACGCTCTTCTAGTCGCGTCACGTGCAGGCGCTTGTACGCGATGCGGCAGTATTCCTGCAGGCGTTTCTTTGTCACCGCGGCCTGCTCTTCTCTGATGTGAGATAATTAGATTAATTTCTCAGAGTTGAACGCAATTCGATGAAAGGTAGAAGCGTCATTTTTAATAAGTTGAGTGATCGAAAATTGAAAAATTTTCTATACTATCAACTCGTACGTGCAAACTCGTATACGGTAATAAAAACTTGTTTCGTAAAACTTGAAATTAAATAATAACCATATTCCTAATACACAATAACCCTCTTCCGTGTACAGATCCATTAACCGTCGTCCATACTGTCCATATTTCAAGGCCGCGTATCTAGCACAGCGATGGTTATATTACCCAAGTTGAGGCTGTAGGCACGCACTTAGTGAGCTGATGGAAAGCCCTGTGAGGCTGTCCAGGCACGAGTGGCGGAAAACGCTCCGTCTGCAGCTGATGTTGTGCTCGCTGCACCTCAGCGCGGCTGGCAGGCATCACTTCGCCGCGCCACAGCCAAGTCATGCGCCTCTGGCAGCAGCTGCCAGGCTTGTTGAAGTCACACGCCGCGCACGTCTCTTCTGAAACCTGGTCAACGCAGGATATTCATAGACGTTGAAATGAAAAAAAAAATTTTTTAACAATATTTGGACTTGATGTTTATGTTGATATATTTAATGTGAGTAACGATGATTCTTCAAAAAATATAAATCAATTCAATATTGAAACGTACAAAAATTGAGCTAATTTTCACAAAGCAAATAGCTGCCGGAATGAGCCAAACAACACAAAAAAAAAAGAATTTAAATTCAAGTTACCCGTCGAGTTGACCCCAATTAACGGTCTGATTGTGCAACCAGTAATGAATAAAATTTAAAAATAATACGGATACTAACAAGAAAGTATAATTTTTACACAGTAACTTACCATTGCAGAAGGTTGGAGTCTGTTAGTCAATATAATATTTGGGTACATCGCACCAACGTCCAAGTGATAAATCAAAGGATTCTCAAGTCTGTTGGGTGTGTCCCGGAGATCTTCAAGTTTAGCACGAATCTCCTGAGCCACTTCATCATAGTTAGTGACATCTGTTAAAGGAACCCCTTCTTCAACCTCCAGGGTAAACTTCAGAGTTCGATCTAAATTGTCCAAGAGGTTTTGGAATGCTTCAGGTACCTGCCCATGGCAAAAAAAAATGTATCAAGTGCAGCAAATGAATTTAACAACAAAGTGATTAGAATTTTGCAACGTGATACAAAATAGAGGAGTATCTAGAATGCGAATACACAAACGTCAACAATAGTCAATATTTACAAATATTTCATACAAAGAAATATAGATGAAGAAGTTAAGTGTAGCAAAGGCTAAATATCTTTGCAAGCAAGTAACCATCATTTTGATCAAATGATCTAACACCAGAGAACAGCCTACCATGCGGAAGCGACAAGGAATATCTGCTCTGAAAACTCCAGATTCAATTGCCTCTACATGACCGCCCACGTATGTTTCTTGATCGAGCAGTTTGCCGTCTTCAGTTGTAGGTACCAGCGAACTTTCCTGTTTGTTTGGATAGATGATGTTTGCATGGTATGCTTCAACCATCAGCAGCGCCTCGCACAGAGTTCCAGAGCCTTTTCGCAAAACCTGTCGCGAGAGCAGCAAATGAACTATTACGAAAACAGTCCAAACATTTTGAACTTAGATAATTTTTTTTTGGTTGATACATAATGCACCAATGATCATAATGATATTTCTAAATCATTCGGTTTCGATTACAAAGGACCAAAATGGGTGGCTTTAGACAAATATAATCAACTTGACAAAATTTGATAAAAGGAATACTCGGCAGAGCAACAAACTTTTGTGTAATAACTATAATTAGTGTTAACCCAAGATCTAATCCAGCAAGCTTAGCGCTCTAGAAGTAAGGACGATGTGAGTCTTGCAATGATCAAAGTTACGCACCTCATCAGGCTCCATAGGAATGATGGTGCACAGAGCAAAAATGAAGGGGTGAACATACTTCATGTAGAGGTAATAAGTTGCTACAGCATCCGACACTGAGTAATTAGCTAGCACCTGCAATAAATACAAGGAAAACGTGAAAATAAATAATAAAACAGTACAAATTTCCATAAAACTTATGCAATTATTTCCAAGTAAAGCATAACAAAAACTTATGACAACATAGGATTGCCAATATCAGTATATAAAAGTCAGATAAACTAAGTGACCATCTATCATTGTACTATTAATGTTAAACATCACGATCATGTACATATTTTCTTTTAAAAATTACCTGAGGCTGATCCGCTGCAAGCTTACACATGTCCTCAGGGTCAAGTTCTACAGGATCGTAGCGAAGTTTTGCTTTTGCAACAGCCTTTAGATTCTGTGAACCCATGGGAAGGTAGGAATCTCGTTTCACCCAACTGAAAATGACAGAAATATATATTTATATGGCAGTCGGCCAATATTTTCATTTGCTTCCATTCAGTCAGTTACTTCAAAAAATACATAAGACGAGATGATTCTGACTGGCAACACAATACTATGGCGCATCAGAAGCGAAAAAACAACACCAAAAATCGCGTTTAAAGTCACACAAACGACAAGTTCATAAAATCCAAATTAATTTTTGTTCATTTAACCAGAAACAGTCCATGTGGATCGCAGGTCTGCTGATGTAATTGCCAGCAGAGTTGCGCGAGAAGCCGATCTCTGTAAGCATACTGATTCCATGGAAGCCTGCGCGGGACTCCACAAATGACCAATCAAAGAAATCTCCGTTGTACGTCACGAAGATATGCGGACGAACCTGAAGAAAACATTGTTGAACATAAATCTCCGTCGATGACTTCCTTCAAGATAATAATCTGTCAGATAAAACAAGTAGTGGACAATGTAAAGAGGAAACATGAAAACAAGAGGATTGTGGCTTCAGAGAAAACCGTTTGCAACTAAATTTAAATAAGCAGTTACAACGAATGACCACTTATTATGTTTTGTAGAAATTAGTAGAATATATTAGTTATTTGAACTAGCACAGCCTTGTTCCACATTTGACAAACGTGACCAGTATAATTGAAGAAACTACGACTACGTCGTTCCTAATGATGAATAATACCAAACCGTTATTAATTTACAGGCGAAATGAATAGAATAAACTAATGTGCCTGCACAACTTTGCATACCTCCATGATGTGATCGAAAAATCGCTGCAGCAGCGCCATCTCGTTCTGCTCATTGAAGACCACAAAAGGTCCCTCAAACTCAGGCCGCGGCGTGTACTCGAAATCCTCAACATCTTCACTCACGATCTCCCGATTGGTGATCAGAAAGCCCTGAATAGTATAAAATAACACTGAAAACCAACAGGAGTGCAAAATCATCTTAAGGGTACAAATTTTAATCTACAGCGCAAACTTGGACTTACACCCGTTGTTAATATCATGGGTGTAAGATATTTCAGTAATCTTCAGCACTGCCCATAATATGGGTTAATGATACTTCAGCAATATCCAGCCAAAACTGTCTGCTAGATGGTATAGATTTAATAAAAAACATATGTGCTGCTTTGAAATGCAACTTGTATGTCGTGATTTATCGCAATGTTAAACCCAATGCATTTGGTTCGAGATCCGTAACTCGCACCTGTCCGTCTATCATGTAAGAGATCATCATGATCTGGTCGGAAGAACTATCCGGGAACTTGAGAGGGAGTTTCGTGGTCTCGATATCATAAGCAAGGACGATGCAGTCCGGCCAGACGAGGAGGTCAGGCCTGGGCGTGATGACTGGAGGGGAGGAACCGCGCACGCTGTACCATCGGCCCACCGTCACCCGCAGGTCGATGGACACACGCACGTGGTAAGGCACGTCGTACTCCCTGCAACGAACCATAAACAATGTAAGAAACCTGGTAAGAACTACATGTAACTGAATGAAACATGGAACCATTGCTACATAAACGGTTTTGGCTGCATGTAGTAGCGCACATATCTATCAGTATATTGCTTAAAAAACTAACTAAAAAATATATGAAAGAAACGATTTGACCAAAACTGGCAGAACCCATCACACTTCTTCCTGAAATTAGGATTTGGCAGGAAACTAAAATTTGGCTGAACATGAGAATAATCAGAAAACAATTTTGCTACTTTACATCCACATCGAGAAGCATAACATATGATCAAAAAATAACACAACTAAAAATAATATCATTACAATAGATGGTAACAAGCACGATCGTCTGTAATTAATAATGGGCGAAACACAACTACACAGCACTACTCTGGGGGGCTCATGTTGAAGAAATTCCGTCAAACAACGTTACATCGTAAAAATAACTGGCTTCATGACCACAAATAAATTAATATTGGTTGATCGAGCGTGTATCCACGATACTTACCGTGTCGGGATGAATGCATGGGCATAAAATTTTAAATCGATATAAAAATGTTTAATTTGTAGGTGTAAAATGTATGAAAAAAATATAACTCAGTAGTCACAGAAGACAGTGACAGAAAGCGCATTTTCTCGTCGACGAAAACGTGAAGTCACGGACGGACGGACGGACACGACGATCACAATAGCGCCTTTTTTCCATAAATGATAAAATGCGCTAAAAAGGTCACCGATTTAAACTAGATGTAGGAGACAGGCTTTGCAACAACTGGATTCTTAAATAGAAGTCATAATCTATCCCGGACAATTAGGTGCTAACCGGCTAGCTGTTGAGTTTTTTTAGGTCTGTTGTGCTTCAGGAGCTTCTAAGAATCTACAGTTATTAAAAGACCAGAGCATACTTTTTATTAACAATTTTCTTACTGTTTTTTTCGATGAGCCGAACGAAATTTCTTGCAGGTGCTTGGAGAACAAAAAGCAGATTACCAAATGACATTTTACTGGAATGTGACGTTTCGAATATATCAATATTCATTATCAAGCAAAGGAAGAGTTACTATTACAACGCTTAAAATTGAAATTTGAACATGACATAAGTTCATACGATATACGATACTTTCTGTATGAACTTGTGTCATGTCCAAATTTCAATTTTAAGCGTTGCAATAACTCTTCACTTGCTTGATAATGAATATTGATATATTCGAAACGTCGCATTCCAGTAAAATGTCATTTGGTAATCTGCTTTTTGATCTCCAAGCACCTGCAAGAAATTTCGTTTGGCTCATCGAAAAAAAAACAATAAGAAAATTGTTAATAAAAAGTATGCTCTGGTCTTCAATCAAACCTGTATAAATGAAGAAGTTCTGCCAAACTACACTAATTATTAAATTACATTAATTATGTATAGGAACATTTCACTATTTTTACTCATGAGCAAATTTTAAACTTAATGTTGAATACGAAGGTTATACCATTGTGAATATCATTTAGAAGCTTCAATTTATCCTGTTCAAGAAGTTCTATTTTAATTATGAAAGCCGGTGAAATTTTTCAATTAGTAGGTTTATTGGTATATAAGAGTAGATTCAGTGAATATTAGCACAAATTTCGAAGTGGTTGTGATAGCACTATTAAAATTACTGTAACTTGACCTAGTTCATTGAAAAGTTCTTCTGAACACAAGGAAATCATACTTGGCATGCTGCTTGATATTGGTGCTTAACTACAACGCACGTGGGTGCTAATTAATTCTATTCCTCTCGCCTGATGTCGATGATGTGATCCAAGTTGTCTTGCTGGGACTTGTGGCTGTCAGTGGAGGAGTTGTCCGGCTTCTTGAGGAGGTCGGCGTAGACGCTGCGGTTCTTGGCCGCCTCTCGATTGCGGCGCACCACAGCCAGCAGAGGCTGCTTCACCTGAACACATGTTACACTAGTATTAACTTCATTCAAAAACTTTTAGAAACTGTAAATTATTTAATAGCATAGTCAATATTTAAATGCTCTTTCAATCAATCCTACTTCAATTGTTTTAATCAGAAGATATCTACATTGCTTGGTAACAAATACAATAATTAAACTCATTTTATAAAAATATGGTAGTAAAAAGAATAGTTTCTTCCTAATCTTAATAAAAATTACTGTTGATTCCTCAAACAGAATTATCATTCATGCTTCAGCAACTAGGTACTTCTGATTGGTATCATTGGTCAATATAATCTACTTATTAGCATTCAAACTTTTTCACTCACACGAATATATATACATTAGGAAACTGTTCATGTCTTCACATAGAAATAGGAAAGTTATGACAAACTATATGGAAAATTTTGGACCAAGCGCAGTTATGATGAAAAATTTATCCAGTATACAGAACACCTTCAACTGCAGTTTTCTCTTATATGTTAAACAGCTTAAAGATGCTTCAAGTCTCACTTGAAGCTAAAGAAGAACGAATTACACATGTCTTCAGTAGAGTACAAATGGTAGTTCTTGTAATGTAATCTCATGATAATCAAGTAAGCCCTGCAACTTAAGATCACTTGCCTTCATGAGGTCATTGTTTGTCAAGAAGGAGAGTTTGATGAGGGTGCGCTTCAGGCCGGTCAAGTGATTATCCTGGAAAGGAATAATGAAAGTTTGACTATATAGTGTTAGAGCCCATCAAGTTATTATGCTTGAGACAAAGAATTAAAGTTTGATAAGAGTGTGCTTGCTGCTTATCAAGTGATCATTATAGAGAGAAAGTCTAACTGATTCACGAGAAGGAGCTCGAGGCTTGTAAAGTGATTATGCTCGAGAGGAATCATACCGTACTTAAGGCTTGTAGTCAGAAAGTAGCAAAGTCTGAGAGTGAAGAAATGCATAGGGAAGAGCCGAGCCTGTTCGTAGCCTCTCGGTTCTCTATCAGTGCCTTAAGGATTCATTACTAGAGATATACCAAGTGTGTGATAAGTTATTTAACAGTTGTTCAACTGTAAAATCACTGAAATAAGTAACTTGATTGCTATCATAAAATTCACATTACTCTTATTTGGTGTTTAGAAATCAAATCTTAAACTTGTAATAATATAATTTCATCAAACACATTGATGAAAAAAAGGAAAAAAAGTGGTTTTGCAATTTTTTGATGTAAATGAAAAATCTTAAAATTATAGTAAAATGTAAAATATTTGAAAATTTTAATATTGTAAAATTGTAAAGTATAGTAATAGTAATGTAATGTAAATAGTACACTAGTAATAGTAATGTTATGTAGCTACCACTAGTATAGTTACATTACATTACTTAGTAATAGTAATGTAAAATAGTATGCCAATCAATATGTTATTTTTCAATATTAATGTCATGTTATGAAATGTTGAATTTATTACTATATACCCAGTTTCAATGTGGAAAAGCAAATTTGCCCATGGAAAAATGTGAGAATTTAATTTGTCTCCAAACAATTAAGCACTTGCACACTATCACCAAGAATAGTAGACAAAACAATTCCTTGTGCTATGAAAATCTCGGAAAATTTGAAGCAGCCTCTCCTGACAAACTTTTAAATCTACAATTAACCTCTAAAATGCTATACTCCAAAGACCAATTGTTCAGTAATTACCCTATAAATGTACAATGCTCACCAAATCAAGGTCTTCTTTCTTGACAATTTCAACTGATGCAATCTGGCCTGCGAATTTTTTACTAAGAAATGTTGTGATGTCCCTCAACACCTCAGGTGCAGTGATGACATAGAAATATGGCCGATATGGCATCGAAACCTGAAATTCAAGATAATTTGATGACCAAGTCTCTAAAAAATACAATCTGTTGCAGTATAATCAATAAGTTGGGGCTGATATCCACATCTTTTAATTAACACAACACATAAACTACAATACTTTCAATGGATATACTCTTTACTCATGAAGTTTCAAATACTTAAAGTTGTATATACATGTATCGGAAGCTAACTCAACAGCATTCAAAGGAAGTAAATAAGGAACACCATCAGGTCAACTTAGATGCATAATCTCAATCAAACTGCAGGTAAAAACAAGGGTAATAATCTGATAATATATTCAGAATCAATCTTTTCATCATATGTGAACATGGTGCTTAGCTCTTCATGTTACATACCTTGAATCTGGAGCCATCTTCCTCCAAAAAGTAGAAGTCCACAGCACTCAGCAGTCTCTTGTCTTCATCAAGGATTTCAGTCTTTTTGGAAAAAAATTAAATGATTTGAACTAGATACTTTAGAAATAATTCACCATTTTATTTATCTGTGTTGTTTAAAAAAAAGCAAGGCTATCTATGAGAGTTGATAATTTAATGAACAGAATGATACTACGGTACTTATTCTCAGCAGATGAAAAAATCAGACCTACTGAGTGTCAAGGCCATTTCTTGTCAATTTATATAACTGACAAGAAAAAATTCAACAACAATAAATATATAATCTTATTTCTGTTATACATGTATATATAATTAACAAAAACTGAAACAAATAAATTTTTATTTTGGTCCATAAAATGGTTATTTGCAATTGTGAATTAACTTACCAAATTGACTGCCTACATTTTGGCAAAAACTACAAGCATGGTGAAGTCTTTGTAACTGAGGACATATATTGAGTTTTTTTTTTTTCAAATAAAAGATCCAGCTAACTGTCCAGCCGGTCATTTTACTGGAATAACTTTAATAATAAATTTGAAACAAGTGTATCACTTGAAGCAGCAGCCACAATGTCCAGCTCATAAGTTTGAGAGCTACATAACTAACTCTGCTGCAGTGAGTCAGGTTCACCCACGGAAATTGGCTACAAATAATTGTAAGCAGTAAGTAGAGTATAGCTCATAATTGTCACTGCAATCAACCCTTGGCGGCCATTAATGAAAATTGTCATTTTAACAGTGTTAGGATAATTTCAACATCCACCAACTTGGTTACACAATATATGAAACTTGGGAATGCTAAAATATGGAGTGCTGCATCATTAAATGTGTTCTAGAGATGATAGCATAGGTGGTAATTTTGATGTTACTGGCTAGAGCAATAAGAATAAATTAAATAATATATGTTTAAAAATTACTTTTTAAAGACAACACTTCTAAAGAATCCAGTGTTTCCAATGTTACAGATTTAAAATGAATTTCTAATTTTATTTTCAAATATTAAAAAAATTAATTTCTCAATTTTTTCAATGGGTATATAAAATTTTTTCAAAATAATTTATTCAGTCAATTGATTCATGCATTGCCTCCAACTTCACACAAGTGTGCAAAATTTCATATCAATTGGACAGGTAAAAGTGTGTCAAATATCAAGTACAAGATTTGTAGCTGACAAAATTATTTCTTCAGTTTTTTTAATACCGGTATTGAAAACAAAAAATATTTTTTATTCTTAAAATTATTCATTTTGTCATTTGATTCATGCATTGTCTCCAACTTTATGCAAGTGTGCAAAATTTCAAATCGATAGGATAAGTAGAAGTGCATTAAATTTTTTATTACAAGATTTGTAGCAGACAAACAGACGAACAAGAAGTGAAGTTAACTAGAAGTGTTGTAAAATATAAAATAAGAAAAAAAATTCAAGAATTGATTTAGTTAAGTTAGAATTTATGAATGAAAATTATTCATGGAATTTAATACCAGTAAAATTATTGCAGTAATTACTAGTATTTCAAAGTAATAAGTGACCAGCAAGGAATCCTAACATTGCAGAATATATATAAAGATATTATAAATCCTCTTTAATATTGCTTTCCATCAATTAGTATCTAACACTAATTTGAGGATGCCTAGTGAGTAGTAATGTCTGATTAGACTGCTATTGTTTTAATCAATTCTGTTTGTCCTAGAATCACGACAAAGACTACAAAGGTATCATATAAAATGGAGATGTATTTTTTCTTTCAACAATTTGATTAGAAAACTTACTTAACAAATGAGATTAGAAAACTTACTGAGTGCATATTAAGAAGCCATCCAACTTTTTCAGAGTGCTCTTTGTATCGTCCAAATCCATACTTCAAATCAATAGCATCGTTTTCAAGAGCAGTTTGTAGGCGCAGGTCTGAACCACCCTCACCAAACACGGACCTGTGGAAAATAATTAATTATTACAAAATTATATTCTATTTGATAAAATATGTACAACATTTTTATGATACCTCATTCCATTTGATACATTTTTCTAGTAGAAATTTGTTCTAGTCCCAGCAAAGTTTGGAATACTAGAACTTTTTATTAGAAATCTAGTGAATGGGGATATTATTTACAAATATAAAAAGTTGCAGCTCAATTATGTAGTTAAATTATAAATTAGATAAGAGACAATTATCTAGCAGCCTAGGAGGGATCATGATAGTTGAAATTGAAAACCTCTCAAAAGTTGGGAAACATTGACTCGAGTTGTAGCTGGGCAGCCTTGGCTCTCGGATAGCCTAATTCCACATAACTAGCTGCCACTACATAATACATTGTGGCCATCAGGCCAGGCCCTGCCAGTGCACTTGTGTCTTCACTGACCAGCCTTTGATAGAAACATTCTATTATTTATAACTGTATATATGAACAAACTAAACCAGGACTGGAAAAGTCCTACTTTTTTATGAAATATCCCGGCTCTAATATCATAGAATTTCAGTAGGTATGAAATCCCGCAGCTCTAATATCATGTATTTTTGTTAGATTGCAAAATCGCGGTTTGCAACTTTGCAAACATGTTGTTTTATAAAATTTTAGCATTCCACAATGAGCCAGGAAAACCTGGCAGAAGCCACCCGTGTAATTGTGAATGGAATAAAGAACCCATGCTTGCAGACAATTTTACCAGCACCTATTCTATTATCTATATTGTATATATATTTTTTTCAGTAAAACTTGGATGTCATGGAAAAGGTAAGCATTTTCACCAGCAATTTTTTAAAATTTCTGCCAGATATTCTAGAATCTTAATTGGTCATACCTATGTCATTAACAGCAGCCTATTTGAAATAGGGTAAACGCGGTATATTCCGACATCGTGGGTAATTCCGTCACCTCTCCAGCTTTTCCTTTATATTAAGCTTTGTTTTAGTTCCATGCGTTTGTTGATGGTTGAAATGGTGACGTCATACATTTGCGTGTCAAAATACTCCCAAAACACTAGGTCTTGGCCATCTAGTGGGAAAATATTGAGATCCAAAGAGAGACAATGCATGCCACCTGGTGAGATCATCGAAAAATGTGTCAAATTTGACAATTGACCTTGCTCTACCAAATAGTGAATAACTGTTTTTATAGGAAGAATATTATGGTTTGAAACTTTTAAATACATCTGTGAATATATTAGGAATCCTTTAAGTATACTTGTATTCGCTGATTTCAAGTCGTAAATAAATTAATAGATGATTAAGTTGAGA